TCTTTTTCCTTCCTCGCACCCCCTTCGATCCGCAGAGTACGCATGCGCAAGGCCCTGTCCTTATAAGGTGCGGCCGGTTCACATTCTCCCGCCTTCCCCTTACGACCTATGCCATTGGTCCAGCTTGGTGGGACGTCAGAAGACAAACGGGGCGGGAGGGAAAGGCGGGATTTCATTTAAAGAGACCGAGTCAGAATTAGACTCTGCCGGGTCCCAAGGAAACGTGCTATCTCCCCGCCCTAGGCCGCTCCCACTCTTTCTCCGCTCGGGGAGATGGGCGGTAACAACGCCGTAGAAACGAAGCACGTGCCGGCCACTGATCTATTTCGCCCATCCTCTTTTTATAGTCGGGCATGTTTAACAGGAGCAGGCAGGGCAAGAGTCGCGGGTAACCAAATTCAAGAAAAGCAAATGTAACTTCCAGGCAGGGTTTTCACGACATCCCAGCCGCATTGAGTCCCACCGTCACACGGGATCTGCGGTAACGTCTGAAATGAGCGAGAGTGAACAAACGAGCATTAAGTCGCCTCATCCGCTCCAGATCGAACCTCAAACTCCTCCTTGATGGCAAGAGTTAGGCCTCCTCTTCCCCCTCTCGTCCCACACCCCTCACGGATCCCGGCTCCAGTTAGGTGGCGCGATGTAATTAAGTCGAAAAAGGAGCGAAAAAGGTCAAACGATGCTGCTCTTAGGGTTCGGGAAGAGAAAACTAGCGAACTGACAGTTTTTTCTGTGGATTTAGACTGGGTTTTTCCTCTAATCAGCTTCCCGGGAAGAGTAAGCCGTTTGGTCGCGAGCTACCTCCGTGCATTGTTACATTTAGCCATGGTTTTCTCTGGCCTGACTAGGGAAGGTAGCCGAAAAAACAGGAATTCCATGTTACACAGTAAACAGTATTTCTAGAGCAATATTCAGAAGCCTGCCAGGCTCCCTGGGACCGGAGGAAGGCGTGCCATAGACATAGACCTAGGTCAACCTGCTCTGACAGATTTATGTTTTATATTCCGTCATTCGGAGAAACATCTCCCAAGCGCGCTGACAAGGAATATAAAGTTACAAGATTTTAGTGCAAATATTGTTTGTCCTGTACACATGCAACAGCCTTGTCAAAAGCCCCTAAAACACGGACAAAACCCTTGCATTGGCTAATCGTAGAAAAATACAACCGCAACGATTCTACAATGATTCTTTCTACACTTTTCGGGATCGATAAAAAAAAAAAACAACCATTGGTTTACAAGACCTACGTGGTTGCGATGCAGAAGTCGCAGTTAAGGCTCCGTAGAGGCAGCGGCCAAGAAAAGAGAAAAAAAAGAAGAAGCGTCCTAAGAATGAGCCCCGTTTTGTTGGTGCGACCGCCTCCTTGGGAAAGGAGCACATGCGCACTACCTGCGTAACTATGGAGCTGACGAGAGTCCCTCCCGCACTCACCCGCTCGGCCCTGAGGGCTTCTTGGCGGAAGAAGCGTGAGTTTGCGAGAGGGCATAGCGCGCGTGAAAGCACGCGGCACTCTCTGCCCGGGGTCCGGGGACTTTCCCCTAGGCGGCGAGGAAGCCCAAGAGGAACAAGTCCTCCGCAAGTAGCCTAGAGAGCAGGTCTTCAGAACGCTGATATGACAACGCTACCATTTTCAGGTTTATAAAACTCCGTTGGACCGGTTATCTTGTAGGTTATAGTGAGCAAAACGAAAGCAGCGAAAGTAGAATATATTTTCCGGTTATTTGATTTCTCGAAATACGGGCTATTTCTTAAATCACGGTCTTTTGTTATGGAGTGAGGAAGGACACAGGAGAACAATTCTGAGCAGAAAACCTCAGATTCTCATCTGTCATTTGCCTGCATATATTATGCAAATATTCGTGTCTTCCCATTGCTTGAGTCAAACAATGACGTGCAGGCGGGTTTGGGATTGGTTGAAGAATGTAATTCCTGAGTAATTAACGAACTAGAAGGGTGGTTTGAAGGTTTGTGGCTAGAAAAGGAGAGTAAATGTGAAAAGTAAATTATGTTAAAACAATTTAAAATAAATGAAAACAAGAATAAAAAAATAGCATGAAAACACGAATAGGGTGCATTCCATTAAAGCCATATAATTACCTGACAGGATCCACTTTTTCATGGGGTCCCCAAAGCTAGATGGCAAAACCTTGTTTTGAGGGCCTTCTGGAAGCCCAACAGGGTTGGGGCCAGCCTCATCTCAGGGGGAGTTAGTAGGGCAAGATTAATGAGAAACAAGCATTTCTCCTTGATCAATACATATTTTAATTAGAAATAGGGATTTTATTCAGATAGTAAGATTGTCACATTTTATCTTCATAAAGGTTTTAATTTACTAGACTTTCAAACTAAAAGTGGGTACTTATTTCATCTATTTATGTGGAATATCAATTTAATTGAATATCAAATCATTATAGACTTCATTGAAAAGGTATAATTTTTATTACAGCCCTAGGACTAGAAAACCCAATATAATTGAAATATCTACAGGTAATCCTCAACATTAATTTAGTGGCAGTTCAAAGTTACAATGGCACGGAAAAAGTGATTTATACCATTTTTCACATTTATGACCATTGTAGCATCACCATATTATCCAACATATTTAAACTCAAAATTACTAATATTTACAATTATGAAATAAGTGGTTGGAATACCTGATAATGGAACATCAGTGAATGCAAGTTTTAAAAAAATGTTGTTTGTATGTTTGAATTCCTCAAATATGTGCAAAAGATGGATTGTAGATTTTCTTTTGTGAGTGACATATGACATTTAAAATACATTAATTCATATTTTTTGGTCATGTCTGATTTGGTTTCTTTTTGGAGTAATGTTATATTCCAAAATTGTAGAATCTGACCATTGTTGAGGAATATTACCTGTTAGATCCAGAGAATAGCCAGAATTGTATTGAGGGACTGATTTGGATATATCAGAGAATAGATTCAAGTAATGTGTAACTTATCTATTTTTAAGACATATTTTTACTAACTGAAAAAAATGTTATTTCATAACCATTTAGAAGAACAGACATTCTCAAGCCAAATTAGATACATTGATATGGATATAAACATGGTATATTTAAATGGCCTAGGATGTTTTTTCTTTTTTGCTATTATAATAATTACTATAGTGGATGGGTGTGCTTTTGTATATTTTTTTCTATTTTTTTAAAAAAATGGCAAGGTTTTTTTTAAAAAAGCACTTCCAACCAGGCTTAGCATTTCTGATATTGGCTGAGGTCTGTAAAGTGCTGCCACCTACCTTTAGGATATTGTAAAAACAACTGAGTTTTTCTGGAATCAATGGAAATTACTAAGGTCATTTGGCTCTCTCTTAGGTAATGACAGCTACAAGCTGCAAAGTGACTCCTTAGACATAATGGAATAGAGCAGATAGCGAAAATAGAAATAGGATTTATTCTTTAAAACCATGTTGAAATTCATTTAAATTCAACTTTAATATAACTTTTAGTAAAGGGAATTGAATTACATGTTTAAATTCAAATTTTCATCTTTCCTTATTTGTGCTTTCATATCATATATGATAAATGCCAATACTTTCCTGTCATTATAATTTCAACCACTGCTTGCAATACAATTTTTTAAAAATACCAACACACAAGCTTCAACCTGAAAGACCAAAAAATAAAATAAAATGCAGAGGCCCATGCAGCTCCTTTGAGTTTTCCCTGAGCATCACCAAGTTCTACATATGAAGCAGTTTTGGATAGAATGTCTAGCTCATAAAGCATTACTGGAGGAGGATCTTCTCAATTTAGAAATTAAGCAATCCAAGGCAAGAAAAAAGTATCTCCAACTTTTTTGAGAACAAATGGTTCTCAATTTCATCTGTTCTCACTACTTAAGAGTTCCTTTCCCCATCGTAGATGTTAGGCCTGTAAACCACTAGAAGACTGCTTCTTATTCCAGAGGCAATCTTACAGAGTGGTGAAGATATAACCCACTAAATATTTCTGGGGCCTAGTTCTTTTCAACAATAGGCAAAGGGACGAGAGTGTGGTAGATCAGCAATTCTCATCTCATGGATGTATGAAATAAGTCCTATATCACAAATCCTATACGGATACAGTATTACTATAATACAGGTATCTTCACTGCATCATCTGTTAATGATATACTTTTGCATGTATATTGAGACAGAAGTTTTTGTTGAGATAAGAACATAAAAGTGGAAATAAACTGTATATTGTATTAAGCCATGGTTTGCTCCATTGAAGAACCTCAAATTGGCCTGACCCATACATGTCTATCCTTGTTTACAAACCACAGGTGCTCAATTTGCACAACACATAAAGCCAAAATGAAGCAAATCATGTTAGTTTAATTCAATATATGAAGCCAGGCATTAGGGGTCTTAAAATATAGTGTACTCTAGTCTACTACCTTTACCCATTTATTTATTTATTTGATGAGTTTTCAGCTAGCATACCTGTCACAAAACTCTTAACACAAGGAAACATCTCATTACAAATTACCATTCCATGACTATTCCTTGCATTCATTAACTCATTTTCATATAAACAAATATAACAATGGGAACAAAAGTATACATTTGTAGCAAAACATAGGTACAATCTGAAATGCTTTTCACTAAAGGCACTGTTTTTCCTTTTTTTCTACTCTGATTCAATGTTATACATATCTGATTTCAGGGTAATACACCTACATAAGCACTTCATTCAGGCACCGAAGGCAGTATTTATAGCATACCATTCTCCAGTGTTTGTCTACATCATTAAATGGGTTAGCTTGAACAGAGAGATAGGGACTGGTCTGAAGTGAAGCACTGGGCTTCCCTGACTGAGAGCATACCCACTCTTAGTCGAACACAAGTCAGATTGATATACAAGTCTTTTAGCAGAAAAAATGCCACAAAATATCACTAATCCAGAGCAAGTAGTATCTTTATCTATCTTATGAGTCCATAAATATTTAAATTTCTTAAACATTTGTTTAAATTTGAACAGGAGCCAAACAATAGAAAATGTCTTTATTTAAGGTAATTTACACTGGATGCAACTTTAAAAAAAACCAAAATGATCTCTTTTCTAGTATTCCTACACAATACTCATTTTAATTTGATTTGGAAAGACTGTTAAAATACTGCTTTGGATTATGAAGTTAAACAAAGTTCATTGAAGGGGTTTCCTATCCTTCTCTAAACCTTTCCAAAGGATCACAAATCCTTCTGAACAATGTGGATGTCCAAAAAGGTTACTGACAGCAAGAAATTGCCAAAATGGAATCTTAAGATTAAATCTTAATAGAAAAAATTATTCCAGTCCTTTCTTTTGCTAGTAGCTCCCATCTTCCTCTCATTTTTACTGCTTCTGACACACACACCCAAATTCTCTGGAAAGGTTTCCAGGGGCACAGGGCATACATGTAGGGACAAGCCAATCTGTTTCTAGAGGTCAGATGAACTGCATTATATTAGCAGTTCAAGCAATACTTTGCTGTAATTTCTACTTGTGTTTCATTTAAAACATGAAATGATAATATACTGTTTTTGTCAACATTTATATTCTATCCTTGATGTTCAAATCACTAATAGGCTATTCCTTAGATTACTTTAAGAAAAATCTCAATGTTAGGTAAAACTACTGATGGAAGTCTTATCTGTTTTTGTCAAAAGATATTCATGGATCATTCAGAACCTCCCAAAATAAATTCATTAAAACCAAATAGAATACACTTGCAAAAAGAACGCTTTAAAAATATATTGAATTTAAACAATAGTTTCCAAACTCTGACAACTTCTAGATTTATGAACTTCAAACCCCAGAATCCTCTGGCAGCCTAGCCTTTGCTAAGATGTGGGAGTTGGTCCACAAATCTTTAAGTGGCCACTGAGAAACATTGTCACTTAAATCAAATTTCTGAAAATCACCAAATCAATGACTAAAACTCAAGAGAAGCCATAATTCAATTCATAATTTTAATATTTAAAGTATTAAACTTTAAACTGAATTAAAAGAATGGTAGCGGAGGTCATACAGAGGATCCCCAACCATTGCAAAAAATCATTCCTAAAACCAATTCTTAGTGCTAACTACTTTTAAAACGTATCAAATTATATCAACAGCTACTAACTGGATCAGGAAACAAATAAGAAACTCTGATAAATGCTTGTGAATTACTGAATCACAGCCTGGGTCAGTAACATTGCTCTATTTTTCAGGAGCTGTTGCACAATGAAAGTGGTATTTGATTTTAATTTATAGAGATATGCTTGAAATGTAATGACTCTAGAATAAGCCAACATTGCAGAGAGAACACAATATATAGATCTGCTTTAGAAAAAAAGCACTGCCAGACGTTTGTAACTACAAGCGAAAACAGCACTGCAGTGTTTTCACTCTTGCACAGTAAATTAGTGCAACAAGTTTCATCTGTTAAATCCTAGAAAACAGATTTGAAAATACACACTGATATAAGATTAGAATGCAATGCAGATGTTTTAATAAAACTAGCACCTCATATTTGTTGAACTTGTTAATTTACAGCACAAGATTTAAGTTTTTAAGCAAATATCAAAGTTATAAAAAAGGGTTGAGATCATTAAAAGTGCTCAGTCAAAACAGTACATTACATAAATGCAAGAATTTTCCCCTAAATTATTAGACATAAAAATTTGCTTAGTATAGAAAGCTGTATTTATTTGAAAAAGTGAATGAGAGATTTTTCACAAATTTGGATATTAAATTTGAGGAACCTTAGTAAAATAAGAAAATTGAAGATTTAATGACAATTTGATATTAAAAAAGGACCAGCATATACTACTTTGGATTAAAATTTAAATACCACTACTTAATTAAAACAATCCAAATCAATAGCTTGCTTTTTAAACAGGCATGTGAACAGTATGACCAACACATGAAGCAGGTGATTAAATATTTCTATTTTTAAATAATATTTTACCATCTAGGTACAATGGTTGTTGTTTGCGTATTTTATTAACGGTTTATAAAGGATCAGGGTTCAAAAATGAGCAATACTGTTACCAAATTGTAGGAGTTACAAAATGTGACCGCATTGACCAGCAAACTGTACCTTGATTAGTTAAAAAATATAAGAGTTCAGTAGACTATTTAGCAAATAAAACAGCACACTAGTGTGCTAAATTTAAGGCATATCTCTGCACACTTTACATCTTTAAAGAATTATTTACATTTACTACTGAGTGAAAGAACAATAATGGTATTTATTCTGCAAAACAGAACCAAGAAATAAAAAATATCTGGGACTCTCCTTTACTGTTCAAAGATAACACAGTTAATTGTGATAAAACATCATTTGCTAGTATAGGCCGTAACAGATTCACTGTTATGCAGTATTTCTTGAGGATTTCGTAGAGCAGGAGGTAAATTTAATGGTTTGGATTCTTCATCAAGAAGCACCAAATCTTCAATTTCTCTTCCTTTGTATTTCCTTTTACATAATTTCACAATAACTTTCTTCTTGAGAAATAGTTTCAGGGCTTCCCTTGAAGCAACTGCTTTGGCATTTTCCTTGCTTTTCCCGCAGCCAGTACCCAAATACACAGATTTGCATCTCAGTTCACAAACTATACTTTCCTGAGAGCTTTTATTTTGAGGTAAATCTGCAAGCTCTTTCAGTGGAACAAATTCAACATCTAATGTTGCCTTTACAGACTGAATGGATGAGTTTAAGAGTTCTACATGGTTGACACTTGGACTAAATCCTCCAGCAGCAACTAACTTCCAAGCAACAGCTTTGTAGAGTCTATTGAAAAATGGTTGCCTTTCTTTTGCATCTTCATGTGTCAACAATTTGCAGGGCACTTTAACTGGGGCTACACTTGTATGTGAACTACTTTTTGAAGCTAATACTGTAGTACTTTCCAAGCCAACCTTCTTTTCAGCTTGTAAGACATTTTCAGATTTGTGCTTATTAGCTGGTGTAGATTCATAATTAGCAGCTTTGCTTTCTATTCTTCCTCCAGTTAAAGGTGCTGCAGGAGCAATTTTCTGGGTCACAGTTGAAGCTGCTGCAGGCACTACATTGGGAGTCAATTTTGAAGCTGAAGCAGATTTTGTCTTCTGAGATACAGTTGAAGCTGTTGTAGGCTCTACCTTTTGGGTCAAGGCCAAAGCTGCTGTAGGCGAAGACTGAGTCTTCTCTGGGGTTTCTGATATATCTTTTTCTACGTTCTTTAGAGATTCCTTATCTGTTTCCACCTTCAGCTCTGCCTTTGTGGACTTTTCGTTATTAACTTCGAACGGTTTGTCAGCACCAACAGCCTGTTTCTTGCAAGGACCTTCTGGAAAGCATAAACAAATTATGTATGTAATTCTGAGTAAACACAAGTATCCTTATTATCATAAAACACTACCAAGAGAACTAGAGCCAAAGAATCTACTTACTTTTATCTTAACCATAACTCTAATTAAATTTTGCAAAAAGTTTACATTTAATACAAAAGATAAATAACCTCTCCCATGAATTTATAATTTGGATCAAAAAAGATGGAACTTTTTCATGGAGGGGGGATAAAAAAGCAAACTGAACTATGAATTGTAACTATTTAATGCTAGTTAACACCACCAACTTAAAAAAAAAATCACCTTACAAACTTTAGAAGTTTTAAGAATTATCAGAGCAGTAATTAAATTAAATAATTTCTGAAGTATTAACAATTTTAACAAATAAGCTAACATGTATTTGGTTAAATATATTCCTATGTGTATTTGCCAGCTATGATCTGCTAACCATTGCTACTGGATATGCCTCGTTTCACCTTGGCAACCAGTTCATCTCTCAGAGTGTGGGTTGGAGCATTGGTCACTGTAATGCCTACAGCCATGTCCATCACCTTTTCCATCACTTGCGGAGAATATCTAAGCAGGAAAAGATAGAAATTAGCACTTTGAGGAAAATTGATTCTATATTCATGACATTTAGAGCATCAATGGCTTCTAAAGCAAAAGCATTGGGTTGGTGCATGTTAAACTATTTAGTTAAGCTATTTAAAACATATTTAGAATTTCAAGGTGATGTACAATTGTTAAATCTATATAAAGCACAATACATAAAAGCTCAAAGCCTTGATTTTTTAAAAAACAAATTTCAAGTCTAAGTACTTAGGCTAATAAAAAATACAGGTAGCCCTCTATTTACATCTACAATTGAGCTCAACATTTCTGTTGTTAAGTGAGACATTTAAGTGAGTTTTGCCCCATTTTATGATCTTACTTGCCACAGTTAAGTGAATCCCTGCAGCTGGTAAATTAATAACCCGGTTGTTAAGTGAATGTGGCTTCCCCACTGACTTTGCTTGTCAGGTTGCAAAAGGTGATCATATGACCTCAGGACACAGCAACAGTCATAAATATGAGTCAGTTGTCAGCATCTGAATTTTGATCACATGATCATGGGGATGCTGCAAAGGTTGTAACTGTGAAAAAGGGTCATAAGCTACATTTTTCAATGCTGTTATAACTTTGAACAGTCACTAAATGAACTGTTGGAAGTTGAGGACTACCTGTATTAGGCTCACCCCAAGAGAGTACAGTGGAGGCATTAGACAAGCTACTACATGGATTTCTACTCATTGAATGTTGATTCAAAGATTCTGCTATAGTAAAGATTTCTATTATGTGAACAGAAAACATTTAGGATGACTTATCAAAGGTAACACCAATAGACCAAAAGCAAGAACCAAGCATTTAAGTGAAAAGAAAAATGCAATCCTCAAGTCAGTGGGGATAGTTTAATTGTAGGTGCCCCATAAGTATTATTACAGCAATACTTTCCCTACAATTCTCTAAATCTGGGCATAGAAGAAAAATAGTAAACAGGAAATTTATTTGGGAAGATTACCCAAGAATTACAATGTATTATTATCATTATATTCTGCAGAGGTCAGTTATACCAAATAACGGCATTGTGCTTTATCATTGTAGCAGCTGCAATAATTAGATGCAGTTGCACCAAAGATAGAAGACCACGTAGGATTTCCACATTTGCCACTGTGACTTTTGTAAGAAAAAGCAGAAGAAAAAAATGACCATCTTGCAAATTTTCAAAATGTGGGAAACTTCAATGCAATCTTTCAATCCCTCTCAACCCCCCCCCCCCCGCTCCCCAATTGCAAATCTCATATGGTAAATAAGAGAGCTGTGGAAGCATTTGCATCGGGCTAGAAAAGACAGAACTACATTTAAAACAGAGAGCCAGTTCTATTGGCTAGAAATTAGGAGACTGTGAGCTCTAGTCCCGCCTTACCCGTGAAAGCTGGCTGGGTGACCTTGGGCCTCTCTCTCTCTCTCTCTCCAGTCAAACCTTATAGTAGTGTTTCTCAACCTTGGAAGCTTGAAGATGGGTGGACTTGAACTCCCAGAATCCCCCAGCCAGCGCTGCTGGCTGGGGGGCCTTATAGGCTTATGGTGGCGAAAATAGGAGGGAGGGAGGAGCATTTGGTATGTTTACTGCCTTGAGTTGTTTATAAAAATACTTTTTTATATTAAAAACATTTTTTTTAAAAAAACCCTAAAAACATCTATCAATCTTCTTCCCGCACTACTTTTACTACCCTAAAATACGCCGTTTCTTGAAAGCACATTACATTTGCAATTCTTCACCAAAAATATTACCGCCACCAACTTACCGACAACCCAGGAAGACGTGGTTGGCCCACACCCTGGAGAAAGAGACCAGGCGACGGAGCTCCGCGCGGTCGGCGTCGTCCTTTCGGCTCACGGACAGACCCTCCGCATTGCGAATCAAGAACTCCCGCCGGTACTGCCAGTGCTGCTCGGGCTCACACTCGTCGCGCAACTTTTCTACCCAGTCCACGCCGGCATCGCTCGCTTCTCCCGCTTTCTCGTTCCCTTGGCTAGACGCCGCGGCGGGCCCCGCTACCGGGGCGGCCTCCCCTTCGGCCATGGGCCGCTGGGAAGTGGCTCTTAACAACCGGCAGCTTGCAGCTCGCTCTCCGACAGAGGAGTATTTACTTCCGGCCTACGTTACCGCGACGCGAAGGAACTGACTTCCCGTTTAAACCGGAGGTAGCGCGAAGACCACTAAACATCCCCACCACCTCCGGAGGTGATCAAATCAGAAGCTGCCCAATTATCATAGACAAGTTCCGGCTATCTATTTATGACTTCATTTCCGCGCGACCCGCCACTTCCTGTTTATGAAATTTTTCTGTCCTTCCTTCCCATCGTTCCTCCCGACTCGATGTTCTTTCCGAGGGACGGAGGATAGGAAGCGGTTGCTTTTTGGCGGCTTCCTCTCCGGATTGGCTATGGGCTCTCTCGAGCTGTAAAGGCGGGGAGTGTAAAGTAAATGATCAAAGTCTCTGGGTCCACAAGTCGCTTTGGTTCCCCTTCAGTGCCTTTTGCTGAAAGTCTGTTGATTAAAAGGTTCTCTTAAGGTGTCTTTGGATCCCGCGTCGTCTTGGTGGTAGGAATGGGACTTTACTGGAACAATCCAACCAAGAATGTTTTTCTTTTTTTGCAGACTTGAGCGAATAGAACTTAAAATTACAGACAACTTTAAGAAAGATTTTGAGATACTTAAACGGGAGCAGCAAAAGATAACAAGGATAATTAGGGGAAACTATGAAAATACTTATCTCAGAATATACTCAGGTAGAGACTGGGAAGACAGCTGATGGAGATCCTTTAATATTAATAACACACTCATTAGGAAATGCAGTTGTTCTAAATATACTTTTCCAACCGAATGGCTGTGGTTTCCGACGTCCCGATATAGTCAGTTGGCGCCATCACTGACTATTGGGGGCGAATCATTGGCCCCCACGGAGAGGGCTCGCAAGTTGGGCGCCCTCCTGGACTCACGGCTGTCTTTAGAAGAGCATTTGACGGCCGTGACTGGGAGGATTTTTCATCAGATCTGCCTGATTCGCCAGTTGCGTCCCTTTCTGGATCGGGACTCCTTACGCACGGTCACTCATGCCCTCGTCACCTCCCGCCTGGACTATTGTAATGCTCTCTACATGGGGTTCCCCTTGAGGAGCACCCGGAGGCTCCAACTGGCGCAGAGTGCGGCTGCGTGGGTGGTAATGGGAGCGACATGGCGCTCCCATGTAACACCTCTCCTGCGCGAGCTGCACTGGCTCCCGGTGGTCTTCCGGGTGCGCTTCAAGGTTTTGGTTACCACCTTTAGAGCGCTCCATGGCTTAGGACCTGGTTACCTACGGGACCGCCTGCTACCACCAATAGCCTCCCACCGGCCAGTACGCTCTCATAGAGAGGGGCTCCTCCGGGTGCTGTCAGCCAAACAATGTCGACTGGCGGCCTCCAGGGGGAGAGCCTTCTCTGTGGGGGCACCTACTATCTGGAACGAGCTCCCCCCAGAGATAAGGAGGATCCCGGATCTGCGCACCTTCTGCCACGCTCTTAAGACCTTTTTATTCCATCAGGCTGGCCTGGCCTAATCTTTTCCCTTTTTAAAATGTAAATTTTAATCTGTTTTAAAATATTGGGGTGTTTTAAACCTGTCTTGGGCCAAAATGGTTTAATTCGATTTTATCTGGTTTTTAAATTTTTTGTATCTATGTATTTTATTGTTTGGCGGTTCACCTCCCTGAGTCCTTCGGGAGTAGGGCGGTATACAAATCAAATAAACTAAACTAACTAAACTTTCCCTTTCAAGCTACAACACAATGGCTTTATTTCAGAGATACTCTATAAATTTCTGACATTTAAAAAAAAAATATCTAAGGCTTCTATGCCAGTCCCTTCACAAGATTCTGAGCAATTTATGTTTCTACATTCAGTAATAGATTAAACTAATTCAAACAATAAACTGCCTCAGTTCCAGTAGTCAGTTGAACCTGCTCCTAATTCAATTTTCCAACTTATGCCAACCATTTCCTGACAGCCAGATCTTCAACAGAAACATTGTACTGACAGGGCGGTCCTTACATTCAGGGAAACAATATTACAGAGAAGGAGGGCTATCACTCAGAAAACTCAGTATTTGGATTTTTTTTTTAAATTTGATTTATATGCCGCCCTTCTCCGGAGACTCAGGGTGGCTTACAATGCGTTAAGCAAGAGCTTTCATACTTTTGTATATTTATACAAAGTCAGCTTATTGCCCCCACAAACTGCGTCCTCATTTAACCTACCTTTGAAAGGATGGAAGGCTGAGTCAACCTTGAGCCTAGTGAGATTCGAACTTACAGTAATTCCAGACAGCTGGTGTTAATCACAATGCTTTTAGTCTGCTGAGCCACCAGGATTTGTGTTGATAATCTTCCTTTGGCAACGGAAACCTTAATTATCTTTCTGATCTCACCAGGTAGGTATTCCACTTGGAGCAAGTGCACTTGGGGACAGTCAGATTCTGAGCTACATAGGGCTTTAAAAGAATAACACCTTAAATTATACCTTGAAGTTAATCAGCAGCTATTGCAGCTTCCCTAGTAAAGGGGTCACAAGACAAGCCCGGGCAAACCTATAACTATTTGGGCCACCATATTCTAAATCATTTGCAACTTCTGAATGTTCTATAGCTGTGATGGTGAACCTATGGCATGCATGCCACAGCTGGCATGCAGAACCCTCTGCGGGCATGCGACCAGTCGCCCAGCTCAGCTCCACTGCGCATGTGTGCGCGGGCCTCCCACCGGCCAGCTGATTTTTGAGATGCGCAGGGACTGGGGTGCATGTGGTAGATATGTGCGCATGCGTGGAGGTCACGTGCGCATGTGCAGGGGCATGAGAGCGTGGGGGGATGAGCCCCCACACACAACCCATTTTTGGCCCAGGAGGCTGCAGGGAGGCCTTCTAGGCCCAAAATGCATGCAAGCGCGGGGTGGGAGCGTGGAGGAGTTGCATGTGCATGCACGGAGGGGCACAAATTGCATTATGGGTGCCGGCACTCGTGCATGCTTTTGGCACACAAAAAGAAAAACAAAAAAAGGTTATCCATTACTGTTCTATAGGAATGGTTCCATGTAAAATGAGTTGCAGTAATCCAAATCTAAATGACAATGTGGCAATCCAGCAGTGTCTCCTGATTCGGAAATGGTTACACCTGACAAAATAGTACAAAAACCTTCTTTGCCATGGCCTCCAATTGCTGTTCTAGACAGACCTCTGAGTCCAAGAAAAATCCCAGATTACAAGCCAGCTGCATCTTGCAGGACACATAAAAATAACTATCAAAGGCTGACTTCATAAATTGGGAGTGCATCACCATCTCCTTGCCTAAAGATGCATTAATCATTCCTTGTACCTTGCCACTAACAACTCTTTAAGGCTTTCACCAATCAAGGACAACAATGATGTAATCAATAGATCACAGACTTAATCACACAGAGAATATTGTTCATTTTTTTCAGGATTGACAGGCTTAAATCAGTTCCAAATCACCTCAAAAGATGTTGCCTCTATCATCTCAGCTAGACTTGCTTGACCAGCCACCAGTTCTGAGCAGATGCAAATGATGTTTAGAGCCAGATGTTTTGCAAACTTAAATTTCATTTGATTTTATTTATATAGCTATCTATTTCAGATACATCTCTGGGTGACTCACAATATTCAAACAAATAAAATATGTAAAATATTAAAATGAAACACATAGCAGCCAAACAATCATAAAAAGCCCTTGTCATAGCCGATAAATAGAGTCTGGCACAGAACAGTCTTCAAAGCCTTGCAAAAGGCCACTCTCAGGGAAAGGATGCAACAAGTGGTGCATGCCCATGGAAAGAAAAGCTCTTCTACAAGGCCTGCCAACTGATACTCCTTGGCTGATCGTACCTGCATATGCCTCTCCTGCCTTATCAGACAGGATGAGTAGGAACTGAGAAGAGATGGACTGTAAGTAACTTGGCTTTAAAGGTAGGTTGGTGAATCTAGAAAAACATTCATGGACATTATTTTACCAAAAATATAAAACTTTACTGAATAAACCACATTGGCACCGAAGAAGTGAAACCAGTTCTGGGTTTCCGGCACAAAAGCAATCATAGTTAATTCCCCTTTTTCCCTTTGGGCCACCCACAGTCCAATAGGTCCACCAATCGCTTCTGTTCATTTTGTTATGGGAACCAGCCAGCCCTGCCAGGACATCTGCTCTGTGTGTCCTTGAGATGCCAGCAATGTCTCACAAAAGCCAACAAATGCTTGAATACCATTCTCCCACCCTTGCATTCCATCTACCCCCTTCCTTGTTATTGTCAAGCTGTGAGTGAAGCAAAATGTAGATGAAAGTGTGAATCAGCCTTGACAAGCACCTTGAATTACATCTGGAAACAAACTGGTAGCCAGTGCAGCTCATGAAGCAGTAATGTCACATGTACCAAACAATTGGCACCTTTAACTGCCCATGCCACTGCAATTTGCATCAACTAAAGCTTCAAATACTTTAAAGTGGTAGCTCCATGTAGAGCATGTCACAGTAGTTCAAATAGGAGGTCATGAGGATACTGTTAAATCTATATGCTGCCTGACTCCCAGTGACAAAAGTTATAATTGCTCATAAACTAATCTAGCTTGGCATTCCCCATGTAACCCAAATAAAATGCTGCAGGGTGGCTATTTACAGATGCAATAAAAGCAGCAGACTTACTATTCAGTAGCACAAATCAGAGTATGGTTTGACCTAGTCATGAGATAATGTCAGGGGCTACATGCGGGAACTGATCTCAACTTTCCAATTTTTCCTTTCCAAAGCGATCTTGTACCTTTGTCTCCTATCATATCTTTCAACTACCGTAATCTTTTAACTTCCTTTCTATTTCCTTTCTATTCCTCGCTTCTTCAAGGCAACCTATACAGATGCCTGTTTTACCCCAGTCCCTCCAATTTCCAACACTCCATTCAATCCAGAACATCCATTCTTCTTGGGGCTGCTGTTGACAAAGTCACTCAGCAACCACCTCATATCTCCAACTATACCACTTTATACCTAGAAATAGCACCTTTCCTTTCACTTGTCTCTCCAGAACAAAAATCTTCCAGACCATAATCTCACCAAAATCATGCTGTGGTGGATCTCCCAAACTTTCACTCCAGGTGGGGAGCATTTCATTCCCACTCTTTACCTTTCATCTTGAGTTTTGCTTTTCCCCAGTAACTTCCC